GAGTTCCCCATAAGCACTGTCAAAGATTCCTACAAACAAAACGAAATGTTTTCAGTTATAGAGTAGTAAAATCAAAAATACCCTACTATTTTTCATCATTTTTTTTTTTTTTTTTTTTTGATAGAATGGAGGGGGTATTTTTTTTTCTGTAGGTGGAGTTTTCAATTTGAGGGAAAATTTTATAGTCGATAGTTGTTCAATTAATTGATCGTAGTCAGTAAGCGTCAACTCAGAGTGAAAAACGTACTTGTTCCAAATATTCATTCACCTGAGGACAGAGTATGAATCATGCACGTAAGAATGGTACACATAACAATTGTCAATTATGGTGTCCTGCGACAAGGAGAGCGCGATATATGACATTGGTATAGGTATTGGTATAATTCTGCTGGTACGCCGAGATTAAAACAATGTGCTAGGCTGGTACAGAATAAACCAATATAAAAATAAATGTGAATATGAAGGTAGCTTCGCCAAATTTTTGTTTTGTTGAATTATTTTTGCAGAAACAACATACGGAAACAACCAGAATTTCTGGGACAACATTTTAGATAGATATGCTGGAATTCATCGAATGTATTATGTCATTTTTCACATTCGAAGAGTACTCACCTGTTTCAGTACGATTAGATGATCTAAAGATACTCCATCATTCATGATGAGACGTAAATTTTTAGTATAAATGCCAGGTAATTTGGTCACAAAATCTTGGATTTTAGCATTGAATCGTTCGACATCATTTTTTTTATTTTCGACAAACTCATCTAAACCAATTTGACTAGCTGCGTATCCATCAGGTTCTGCTCTGCCTTGTTTTAGTTCCTCGAATAATTGAGTTGTAGCTTGAGGATTAGGAGACCACACAATTTTCAAATGTGGGAAATGTAGTGTGAGCAGTTGAAGTTTTGCCGTTACGTCAAAACTTCGCATCTCTTTACTCATGTAATAGTTACCCTGCAATCACAATTTACTTGATTCAATTAGAGAAGAGTCTACAGATTCTTTTACATAGGAAATAAATTTCCTTAGAATAGGCAAGTATTTAAATTCCAGAGAATAATCGGTAGAAAAAAGAGAATGACTGAAAGGATCAGAGCAACTTGAGAAAAGATTGAGAAAAATTGTAACTCCAACCATTTCGGAATGTGTTGAAGGAATTGTTGATTATTCACACCGTTCGAGCTATTTCAAGAAGCTTTAGATCTGTCTACTTTGATGATTGAGTCATTGCTTCAATGATTACAATGATTATGAAAAATAGTACTCGATACTGACATTGACATAATTATTTAAATATTTACCTGTAAACAAAAAGATTTATTTTGATCAAATTCAATCAACAGCATGGGCTTAGCATAGTGTCTAGTCATTGATACAGCTTGGTTATATAGTCTTCCCGAATTAAGAGACATAATCAGATCCGATATGCTTTTCCTTTCCACACAAATCTCCGGGGTAAGAATGTAATCACCGACCTAATTAAAATGAGTGTCATTAGTAATTACACATCGTTTCAAGACAGTTGAATTGACTGAATAATTTCGTTGATTTTCATACAATTATCGTCATTGGTTCGATATTTATTCCACGTTTATGCAGTAGCCCAGGTAATTCACTCCGAAATTCTCGAATGTCTACAATTATTGTTGAGACAATTCCATCGGTAAGTTCTCTTCCTTCTTTTCGGAAGCTTGGGTCATGAATTTCGGTAGAAACAGTCAATACATTGTCTGCTTTCCCGTCTTGGTCAGATGGTATGATCATCGTCTAAACACCAAGAAAATAATCAGATAATTATAAAAGGATGAACAGAACGAAGAGAAAGATTAAAAAGAAAAATGCCTAGCATACGTTCGCCACAAATAATTATCATTCCAATGAATGATTTCTCTGATTCAGTCGAGTTAGTTTTTTTGTAATTTACCAGAATGGATTACACGAAAAGAATGTTGATAAGATTTTGTTTTTTTTTTTTTTTTTCAATAGTACGCATGCGTAACTGTACTCCACGACGTGTTAAACGAATAAAAAAAAATGACTGATTACTTGTTTTGTGTTGATCAACATCTCAAATGCCTCTTTTTCTCTCCTTAACGCTGTTAAATATTCTTGTTCTTCAACAGAAACTGCATAAATTACGAAATATATTTTCAGTGGAACAGTCGGATGATAGTTCTGATAAGCCTATGACAATCACAGAAGAATCATGATTATTCGAGTCATCAATTATAATACTTTTCTCATCTTATTTTTAACGTAATGTGTAACAAGATTATATGATATTTTATAATTGGCAAAGGACTGAAAGGGGAACCTGGAATTTAAAAAATTCAGTCTTTCAAGGGGCCTTGAAAATGTGAAAAATAAAAATCGATCTCCATGCATCTCACAGACGCGATCCGGTCTTTCGGAAAGTCTTTGATGAGCAACTTTACATGAGGCTCTGCTCCTGTGGAAAAGTAACTGGGACTTGGAAAATTCTGACATTTTATAATTTAGATTTTTGTATTATATTTAAAAAGTTATATTGATCAATATTTATGTGAATGGTAGATGAATGATAATATTGGGGGGTACTATTGTATTTGATATTTGTCCCAAAATTACGGTAATCGGGGAAAATCGATTTGCCGTTCGCTGGTTTTCAAGAGATGTGGAGACGGGCGTCATCCATTGAAATGATGCCGATGCGTTCTCCGCTGTGATGTAGTGAACTCTACGGGGGAAGAGGACGATAGAAAGACGTTACGGAGAAATCAGTTATCTACCGGTGCCAGATTAACCCTAGCAATATCTGATTAACTAGTAATTATTGCGGAGACAGGATGAAATCAAAATCTGCCTTGTTATACAATAACGAAAACGAAAAAACGAGTCTCTAGGACCCTGAAAGACTGTTTTTTTCTTACTCCCAGGGAACCATCATCCTGTCAGAATAATTCTAGGATTTCACACATCCTTAACAAATAAAAATATCTACTTACTTCAAGTTGACGAATTGATGACACATCGGCATCATACATTACGACGTACCTCGGCGTGTGTTCCTGTAATGCTTGTTGAAGAGCCATTGGATTTCCACCTCTTTTCACGGATTGAATCACCACAAGAGGTACGGATAATGGCAAATTGGTATTACTATCTGAAATCTTTTATAAAAAATTTTTGAATAAAAAAGATATTCCCATATATGTGGCCGTCCATATGAGAAGGTCAGTTGAGGCGGAATTATCCCTTTCTTTAAGGATGTTAAACCGCTGAATAATGACTATATTTTATTTATTGCTCCCGAAACGGGAGCATTGTAATCGTGCAGAAATAAGTTTTTGTTTTTTTGTGTTGGATTAATCCATTATGGTCCAAAAAATTCGAAAATGCAATTTTTAGACCCTGTCCGTACGTATGTATGTATGTGTGTATGTATGTGACAAACGTTTTTTTCAAATTGAAAAAAAAAAGCGAAAAATCAGTACATTGTTATATCAATTATATATTGCGAATAACGGTTCTGGAGCGAGTTGCTAATTCATTAGCAAAAAAAAAAAAACTATATGATATCGAATACAACAGCATATCCTACTTGTTTTTCTCATTGTGACTATAAAAAACTAATCACTCGATGTGCATCATCATGGCACCCAGGGTCAATTTCAATTGCAATTTCAGTCGTTTCTTAGTAGAACTGTAATAAATCCATTGTTTAAATTCAACTTATATTAACTAAAAATATTATTTTTAAGGTTTACAACTTTAAATCGCCATACCTCTACAAATGTTCACGTTATAGAGATTGCTTTCATCTGAAAATTATAGACTTCCCTTCTTCTGGTAGGGGCCTTCTCATGTGAACAACCAAATATAATGACAACTTTTCAAAGAACTTCATTATTATTTCCAACTCTACAATGATTGTGATAGAAATCAGAATGAGTTGTGAGCTGAGAATGAAATAGAAATTCAATGCACTACCATCCCGACCTTGAAATAGTAACTTACTATTGATATTCTTTGTAACTTGTGTTACTATTTGTATGCGTAAAAAAGTCTAGCCTAGAATAAAAAAAAAAAAAATACCTCCAAACAATCCTGTAATGTAGAATAATGTTCCTTGTTTTGAGAAGTTTTTTCAGGTAACTGCTGTGTGTACGTTAATACATAATTGTCCTGACCTAGAATTTCATCCTGGAGTTCAGGAAATCCAGTACTAGTCTGCTCTTCTTCGTTCCTGCTAAATAATTATTGATTTTTTAAACATTGAAAATTTTTTAGAAATTCAGAAAAGGGAGTCTGTTCATCAATTTTTATTCGTACTTAGACTTCAAATGTTCACTTTTTTTAAGGTACTTCATGGCTTCCCATAGTAAATACTCGCCAGCGCCCATCGTTAAGTAATTCTTCAACTGTGCACATGTCCTTCCATCCGATGTCAAGATTAATACAGTCTTACCAAATTCCATCTCTTGATCTATTTTATTTCCTTGCATGTGGATTTCCTGGAGAATATCAGATAGAGCACTCCATTTAGGACATGGCTCTGGGGTGAACTCATTCTTATTATTGTACACCCTGCTTTTTGAATGAATAAATAGATCTTCTACTGCATCTAAGATCAGCCACCCACTGGACTTTAGCGCATACTCCATAGTTCTCAAACGATTTATTGAAGCATAAAAAGAAACTGAAGATTCGTGTGTTAATTGACTGGAAACAACCATAGACTTACGTCAAATGCGTTTACTAATACACAATCAGAATTTCACATGCTTATCAAGAGATAAATGAGGTCGCATACAATTTGCAGGTCCTTCCGTAAATATTTTGTTTGACCGATTATATTAAATTTCATTAGCTATTCAAATATCAGAGTGAATTTATTCGTGCGTAAAACTGTGCATCCTTAGCGCTTGTATTGAGAGATATTTCCCCGTGAGTGGATGATATTTTGGGTGATGTAGTACCTACAATATATTTTGTATTTCATAATTAATTTTTACTTCTTTGTATCTAGTATTAAAGAGTCGATAGCAAAGCATGTAAAGAGAATTTTAATTATTTCTTCTATTTCTTTTTTCTGGTTTGAGACTGCAGCAAAATGTGATGCCCTTGTTTTCATTTACAATCTACCCCTCTATCCACAAGCCACAAAAGTTAGGACACATGGGTCTAACAAAGCGACAATGGAAAAAATTGCATGGCATTTGTTCAAAGGCTTGTCAAAGGAAATATGATTCAATGATTCTTAATTCTTATTTTTTCAAAGTTTTCATGTTTTTCTTTGAGAATTCAAATTTTATTTGAGTTTTCGTTTAGTTAATCGTGAATAATATTAAGCCATATATGCATAGTAACAAATTAAACTCATCGATTCGAGTAGCTAACGAAAGTTGAGGTAAATCTGCCCAGCAGAATTTAATTTGAAGCTATAATGAATTTATTGTAGTTAAAGTAATTACTTACGTCATGAAGTTGCTGAGTAATTTCAAGTCAGTCACCAGCTGTTTAGTGCTAGAACCAAGTTGGTGCCAGATCGGATCCAGTTGATGTTGCAATTGTTTGTGAAATTTGTAAGAAATTGCATTTTCAGCGTTTAAGTCCTCCAGATCTAGATATTTATTTATCCTTTTGAGCTCCTTAATTATGAAATTCATTATATCAAGAAGGGCTGCCTGAATTCCAAGCATTTTTTGTGTTATTTTCACATGAAGTTCGATTACTTCTGGCTGTAATGAAATAAGACAGGATAATTGAAAGGAACAAAATGAATATTAATTAGTTACAAATGGAAGAAGCGAACGCTATGTTATGTATATATGTTGGAACATACTTTCCGAAATCATGACTTAAAGGAAATGTTTCGCGAGCGGTATTTTTGCGTAGAGGAATTGATAGAATGGCCCATATGCATTTTACGACTCATAATATTTGGCATTATAAACGATAAATTACCTTGTAGTTGGACAAGCTGCTTATAACAGTAGTATGAAATCTCGGCCAGAGAAATAAATGTTTAAGAAACAATGTTTTCATAACTTGTTCCACTTGTGAAAAGTTGACCGTGAAAGCTAAGGCAGAGTCAGTAAATGCTTTAATAAAACCTGTTTTGTTATTTTGTCTATACAATCGAAGAGAGAAGGCTTCTTGATATGAATTCATAATTCTATGTGCCTTCCATACCAAAATCCCAGTTACTAAATTCAACGGCACTCTGCACTTTAACAACTCAACGACGAAAATTCGTCCCGAAAGAAATAGAACTCCACCTTGGAGATAAAGTGCTTCCCTTTCTCCTGATGATACGTGTGCAGTGACTACTCTAGGTAGTGGTTTCACATTCATTGCCTCTAATTTGCTTATAAAAAACTGCTCATCGTGGTCTGTGATTCCAAGGACAATGACCAAATTTCCAGGATCCGAGTATACCTTCAATATATTCGTAAAAACTGTTTCTAGGCCCAATCCTTTTGCGGATATCATAAGACCATCGTCCTGAAGAGCCTCTAAAAACATCTGATTCTCGTAGTCCAACATTTCTACAATGGCACTTGAAGGGATGGCTCCACTAACATCATCAGAAAGATAAAAGCGAATGACCCTTATTTCACTTCCTTCAGTGATCTTACTGTCATGAAATTTAAGGTACTTCTTGCATTGAATATTTCTTCATGTAGATTATTCACCGCGATTACATTGTAAACTAGAAGGTTGTACTGGCTGGACTCGTGTGAAAGGTGACGGGTGACCATAAACTCCTAGAGAGGGAGGGCGCCACACGCAATGCATATATATATAGAACATTATATTTTAGCACCAATAAGAATTACATGTCATTTGAAATTAACGCGCATTTTGGATTAGTGAAGATTTTGGATTAGTCCTAACTCGACATTGGAAAAACTTTACCAATTAACGATGATTTTGCTTTTTCAGTTGCACGATGAATAAAGTTATAAAATCATTTCTAATCATTTCTAATCACCAACAATAATATTCCAGGAAATTGAAACGAGATAGAAAACAAAAAATAATGTATAATGTATACCCTTATTAGACTTTGAGACAAGAGAAGCTATTGAAATATCTGTGAAATTAAAATAATTCCATAATATTTCAATGTTTACATTATCACAATAATATCATACTGGCAGTGCTTTTTTAAATAATCACTCAAATGTGTTCACACATCTATATCCACTTCTGCAAGTGGTAATAAAAGGCTAACGGTGGCAATTGGCTTGATTCTCCTTTTTTTGCATAGCCATATCTGTATCTTTTCAGCTAATGCAGAAGTAGGAGTGGCTTTAACAAACACAGGAATTGAAATACCACTTGGTAATAATGGTAATTCCACAACCCTCGGCTTTATAACAGTCTCACCCCTGAAAACGAGAAATAGTGAAGGTTCCGTAGGGTCTTCAGATAAATTTGTTACAATAGTACGCAAGACATAAGTTGGACCCAGACCGAGAACACTAGCTTCCATAGTGATGGGATTCATGCCAGATTCATTTCCCGAATTTAATTCCTGTCGTGCTTTTCTCGCTACCGTCAATCTCAATCGCAAAAATCCTTGCTGAAAGGAATTGTGTATTTTCTTCGCCTCGGCTCTCTCTCTTATAGTCTGCTCAACGAATAAACGGGTCTTCTTCGGTATTGCGAATGTACTTTGGCACCGTTCGGTAATTGATTTGGAAGTATGAGGTCTGGCTGAGAAATTTGCCGTCCTCTTCAGAATCTTAACCGCTAAACCACCGGGAATCGTTACCATAGCCATTGCGCGTTCCTCCTGACCCATGCGACCGTACTAGAAATTATTATTTTTTTTTTTTTACCAAATAAGAATTAATTTTCAAATAATGTACATCATCACTGTGAAAATAGGCAACTGCATATAAAATAAAAATTCAATAAAAATACCTTCATTGCTGATACGGGTTCCATCATATTAATCGTGTCCACATGATGCTGACCATCATGAATAAGAACCCCGTAGCGTGGAACACTGACAGCCAATAAAGAAAGTCCTGTCTGCTGCACTGGTAGGCTCGTCAGATCTAGTGCCAATCCTGGCAATTGAATCCTCCATAATTTAACTCCACTCCCCGAAAATCCGCACAATGTCCCATCCATTAATGCTACAGCAGCACCATCACAAGTGAGAGTGGAAATAGCAACAGCCGGGGCTGATAATTTTTCCCACAGATTTATTGAATTACATCCTTTCGTCAAAGAGCCTATTTTTCCGTCTCGTGAGATGACAAATATTCGACCATCGCCGGACCATAGACCAGCACTGGTCACTGCCACCGGCGGCCAACCAATGTGATGTTTCTCAACTAATGAAAATGACCTGGGGTGCAATATCAATATTTCTCCAGATTCGGCTCCCACTATTATACAACTACTAGCTGGCTCATTCCACGAATCCTTTCGAATCAATCCGATTGTTGATACTGCATTCATACGGGTGAGGGGGAGGCGACGGTATTCCTCTGCAAATTCCACGCGCAGATTTTCATCCATTGACAAGAATTTTATAGTCCTAGGAGAGACAAATGCCGCTCCTAGCTCTTTGAAGAGTAGTTCTAGGTCATCGCAAAGGGATAGAACATTCAGGTCCAAGTCCAATCCCGCTCTGTGCCATATCTTTTAAACATGATGAGTTCATGAATTAATTATGCATTAACGTAATTTACTTGGTCTGATTTTCAAAGGGTGATAAATCATGGTAGAATAATGGCATCCATAAAATTGCAGTGAGTGTCATTTCACCTTCAAATTGAAACAAAAAATATTATTTTTATTTGGCTTACCTCTCTCTCTTTGGGATGTGCATCCAGATATGGGAGGCAATATTTAAAATGGGGTCTCATATTTTTATAAATATATATACTAGATCCAGCTCCCACAGCAACGGCTGCCGACCTGGGCTCTGCATTTTCTGAATAAAATCCAACGACTCCGCAGGGAGATTCCATTATATTATGTTCAGTCACTGGATCACCATTTTTATATACCCTCACCTGAAAATAGAATAAATCAACTTTTAAAAATTCTGTTTATTAGATATACGATACATGATTACATGATTTTTTATGGAAAGATTCTATCTTGCAGAATGGGGAGAGACGATACGGATTTTTATCTGTATTTTAATCTGTAGAGAGGTAACAGAATTGTTAACGAACGATATATATAGTTGCATAAATATATAAAAGGGCAATTATGAGAATACGAAATAGTTAATGATTTACCTTTGCAGAATCCGTTACTTCTGAGGTGAGATCAGTTATGATTAGCCTAGCTTCATTATCCCCGGCCACGTCCAGCATGTCTAGGCCTCCAGGAAGCGCATGTATATTTGCATTGGGCTCCCAGACAGCGTCCAACCAACGGCTGGTATTCAGCCGAGAGCCTACAGGTCTTTCCATCCTGATTACACAACAATCAGAAATTTATTTATTTTATTTTTTATTTATTTTGATAATAAATAATAGTGACAAGTGCGCATGCTGTTACTTGATCTTCAGTTTCGTTTAGATGATTATTAACAACTCGTGGTCATCGAATAAATTGTTCATAGTAATAATTACAAATGGGGCAATATGTGATCCAGTTTTTTCTCCAACGTGTTTCATTAATTTTTTGATTCACTGACTGACAGACTGACATTAACATCAATGCCATGTTCATTTCACATCAAATGTTCACATGCATGTGTTGTGATTATTGTATCCATGGTACCTAATTCATATATAACGCGCTCCGTAAGCAAATTGTACTTTTCATATGAGTCCAATTGAGTCCATTGCTCTTGAATGAATGCTCGATTTTCCTGATTTGTGTAATTTTTTTAAATAATAATTTAATTATTTAAACGTTCATAAATATTTTTCAACTAGACATTATTTCATAGCAACATATAACATAACTAACATATAGTATTGCTGTGCCATATTTATTTCGCCCTTTTACTTTTATGAAAAACCTATTTTTAAATATTTATTTATGACAAAGCACGAGTATTACTTACTTTTCCCTACTTCCCTACTTCCCTATTTCGTCTCTTTAAAAGTACAAATCCTCAAATAAAATTATTTATTGACAGCATCCCCACCTAATACCTGGTAGTAAATTCTGGCATTGAGTTGTCGGGATATCTGGGTAAATCCCTTGTGTCTCGGGACCCTTGAAACAGTTTTTCTTTCACTCGGTTTACCTTAAGTTTTTACCTGAGAGGTTGATGATTCATTCAAGTACTTACGTTTACCTCGAGAATTTGTCGAGGGCTTATCCTCTTACTCCCTCCATTCCACCCTCGTCTTACTCCCTTCCAATATTCATTCATTGCAATGCGAAAAATGTGAGGGTCACTTACTACATTTTACCTGATTTTTCCGTTTGACCTGTGGAATGGGCTGTACAACGGAGCAATCGTCAGTCAAATTATTTCTCTCGTAGGAATAACATCAAATTGCAATTAATATCATGGAGGTTGCTTTTGAATCAGACGCTGCGATTATATTCGATAAATTAGAAAAGGAATCGACGATATCTTGGACTTCTGCAGATCTCAATCAAGTGGATTATCGAAACTCTTGGTGTCAATATCGCAATTCCGGAGTGGAAAACAAGGAGAATATCGAACCTGTTATTAATGATGGGAAAATTTGTGTGGAAGAGAACGATGAAGGGGTCAGGCCTTTAGCAAATGAGGCTATGGAAATTGTTATGTAAGTAATAGAACGGAGGATCTCTTGCATTTAGATTTTTAATTAAATTATTCGTCCTCTGTTTATTGTGAGTGTTTTATTTTTACAGGACCTTCAGCGCTTGTTCCATTGCCGTAACAGACACTTTACAGAAAAATAATTCTATTCTTGATCCACCCCCAGTCAAGGTAAATTTCATTCTCCAAATTGCAAAGTGAAGTTCAAAGTGAATGCCTAATGTTTATTGGTATCAATCTCAACAGAATTAATTTTAAAAGTCAATTACAAAAATTCACCTTTCACTATACATTGATAACATTTAACAGATAATAAAATTTGGTGACAATTTTAATACATTAGATCGAAATAACAATCGATAAATCGAGGTATAACTAAGTGTTGTCATTTCTAAATTCAATAGAATTAAATTTCAAGTATACCTCGTATTTATTTTTTGCATTGCTACAGTCGAAATATTAATTCATCCCCATCCAACGTTGGATCACTCGATAATTCTAATTTAATTTTTTTAATTACAGAGAGCGAGAATAGTTAAGCCACCGGAAGCCAACAAATCTAGTAAAAAAATTCCTGGAAAAATCGAGCCGTTCAGTTTTCTAGCTCGCGAAAGAGAGAATCGAGAAAAGACAGAAGCCCGTCGAAACTATTACGAGGTACATTACGAATTTAATCTTAATTCACTATTGAATAATAATTCAATAATTAAAATGGTTATAAATGAATTATTCCCTTGGTCATTATTCTTCCAGATGTTGACAAATAAATCGAGTCCACGGCCATTCAAAGCCAGAGCAGCGCCGAAGTTCAAGCCTCTTCCTGAAACCCCCACTAGATTTGTCCGGCGAAAACCATTAACTCAAGCCCCAACTTCAAAGACTAAATCCGAGACACTCCATAAATTTGTCCTAAACAAATCATCACCTCAAACACAGACTCCGATGGTTGCAACTCCAAAAAGATCGACTCTGCAGCCAATTCATGCACTGAGCCCAATTAAACCTACAGGAAGGGTTCCGCCATCAGTAAAGCCTATAACGAGTCCAAAATCGAGTGTCTCACAGTCCATCACCACAACGAAACCGAAAAAAACCACGGGGATTTCTCCACAAACTCCACGTCAATCGATTATTCCAAAAATGCAGATCGTCAAAACTACCCCATCGTCATCAGTATCTCAAACATCGAATAAACCCACAGAGAATACAGTGCAGCCTAAAATGGCGGTTAAACGAGGATTCAATTCGAGAACGATTCCTAAAGGGCAGAAAATTACTCCGGTTGTTGTTGTGCAGGTAGTTGAATACATGCATAGATCCCACAGAAGGGCAAATCATCCAGTAGCTAAAAAAATTAACGTATTTTTTATTACTGAATGACTAAATAATGGTTTTGATAATTTACAGAGTTCGAAGCCAATGAGAGAGAGTTCACAAATACGATCAGTAACTATTCCCAAATCTCCACGACTATCTACTGCTATTCGTGCTCGCGAACGTCGACAGTTCGATGAAATGATGGAAGAGAAGCTGCGGCAACGCAATGCAGTTCGAAAAATGGTATATTTTTAATATTGATTTTACTTATTCATGGAATAATATCTACAACCAAGGATTTATGTAAAGGAAATTGCCACTACTCAACGTTACGAAGAACAGCAGGATGTAGTTCAGCTTCGCAAATCCATGATATACACAAACCGGTGCCAGTCCTCGCCTCAAAAAATGTACCAGTAATCAATTAATCATCTAATCATCCCATGTTATCTACCTTTGTCAAACGTCCTCGATGCGTTTAATATGATATAATATAATGACTGGTCATGATCGTATGTAGATGTGAATATGGTGTAGCAACTAGAGTACATATTGGTTTCTATTTTTATACAGTTGTACATTGAATCTGTCGTTGGTTTATCGTGCTGATAGGTCATTTGTATTTTTCATCGAATTCATTTGAGTAATTGATTCGTTGCAGTATTACAAGAGTCAAAGATTTGGATCTTTCAAGTACTGAAAGAACTGAAAAACGTATATGAAATTGAAGAATAAATTTATAATGTATTATATATGTATTATATTGTCATTGATTTCTCTGTGTATATGATTCTTGTAAAATTGAGCTGTACCTCGAAATTTTATTGAAAAACCTAATTTAATCCTGTAAAAATAAAAAAAAAAATGATTAAACAATAATTGAATTTTCAACAAGTAGCTTGTAAAAATCAAGTAGTATCGAGTAAACGCGGATGGGATACGAAAGTAGGAACAATAAATCAATAGGCTCGTCTTGGTGACAGAATTATAGAGAAAATGTGTTAATTTCTCGTAAAACCCAAGCTAACTCCTGTTGTTGTTTACATTTTCACAATGTCTTTACTTCTGCCAAGAGTACAATACCTTTGCGATATTACCAGTGACAATCAATAGTATCTCAACATCTCTGTACTCAACTCGTAACGTTCACCATCGATTGATTTTTTATTTCAGTGTCATTCATTTCAAATAAAATGACGAGTCAAATTCAAACAAGTACTCCAATTAATCTCCCCAGAATGGGAAATAATTCAAAAAGACATTCATGGCTGAATCAGGATGTCACGCAACAACTCTATCGCAACAGTTGGAATAAATTCAAAACTCCTGAAAAGGCGTCGTCCCCTTGGGATGCCATTGAGGGCCCAAAATTTGTGAATTTTGAAGATGCACAATGTGAGCCCCGCGATTCATATTTCGGTAAATTACATTGGCTTTTACAGATACAGAATAACAATTATTCTATCAATTAAAAAGTATATGTATTGTCAATATAGATAGGAGAAAGTCTGATTGCCCATCGCCGCAGAGGAAAGAGGAGATGACATTGCCAACACCTGATGAAACTGTGGACATTGTGAGGTAGGAATGAGAATTTGAAAAATGAGAAGATATCATCAATAATTGTTCAATGAAAAAAGCTGTCTCATTGAATTATTTTTTATTTGCCTTTTAACTTGGTGTGATTTAATCTAGCTCCTTCAAGTCTTGCTCTATATCAGCTATCATAGAATCAAGTATTGAAATTGAAGATGAAACACTAGTTGCAGACGAGACTGTCAATGAGAACAGCCGTATTGAGGTAAAGAATGAATTCATAGATATTATATTATTATGTTATAATTATGACAATGACCATCTGCATTGTAATGTAGATTGTTGAAGAGTGTTTCGGCACTGACACATCCACATCAGATCGCAGAATTTCTATCGTGCAACCGTTTAGCTTCGAGCTTCGTGAAAAAGAAAATCAACAAAGACGAGAGTCTCGGCGGGCATATTATAAGGTATGAGACTTCATTCCAATTAAATTATTTAATAACAAATTGAACAAACCAACACCGTAATTCTATATTGATTCATTGCCAATTACAAATTGCAGATGCTGACTGACAGGATGTCTAATCATTCATTCAAGGCTAAACCTGCGCCGAAAATTCACCAAAAGTCTATTGCTGCTGTCAATATCGGTGATGATGATATTAAACTTGAGAATACGCCGAAAATAATTCGAGTTCCAAGAAAAATAGACGTTAATGCAAGCAATCTTGAAGAAATGAGCGAGAAACAGAAGACATATAATAGAACGACAGTGAATGCCTTAAAGTTTAAGAAACCTATTGAAAATAGGTCTCAACAGAAAGCTAAAAGTGCAACGGGTTTGACTCAATCTCAACAGACAGTTCCAACCCGGTTGAATGTACGAACAATTCAGTCAAGAACGAAAAGTACAACGGCTTTGGCTCAGCCCCGACAGACACCTACCACTGCGTCCAATCCCTTTGCAGTCCAGTCGAAAGCCAAAATAGCAACTGCCCATCAATCTCCAAATAAAACCAAAACCACATCAAATCCATTTTCATTTAATTCAAAAGCTAAAAATACTTTGCAAACTCAACATACACATAATACTGCAACAAATCCCTTCTCTCTCCTGGCTAAAGCAAAAAATGCAGTAAATCCATTCCCATGGCAGAAATCAACTGCTGCAAATATTCATGTCGTTAAAAATGAAAAGTCGAATGAACAATCGGAGGAGGTGGAGGACAGAGGAAAATCCTGCACATCGTCAGCACATTTTCTCCCGATGAAGAAGCAAAAGCCATTCCAAGTGGCCTTATCTCGTCGTAAAATTGAAATCTCTAAAGGACCTGAATTGATGACCGCTAAACGAGCACTGGAACGTCAACAGTTTGAGGAAAAAATGAAAGAGAGAGAGCGTCAGAAAGAGGAAATTAAAAAACAGGAAGCAGCAGCTCAACAAGCTCGAGAGCGAGAAGAATTTATCCGTTTACGCAAACAGACTGTATTTAAGGCAAGACCCGTTCCACAATTTAAGAATATTTTACCTCCAGTACAAAAACGCCCACTAACCGAACCGACGATGCCCATCTTTACAAAACGCCGTCGCCTCACGACAAGAGAATAATATCCATCCCCAAAAACTCTATAAATTCATAAGGATTGAGCTAATTTCCGTCATGTCCGGAAAACATCGGTAGTAACAGATAGAGAGAATTATTGAATCGTAAAGCCATTTCGATATTTTGATATAGATAGTATTTTTTTAAATTATTAATCTTCATTTTAAGTGATGTTAACTGACGAAACAGTTTTTTACTGTCATCAATTGAAATGTTTATTTAGTTTATGTTTATTTTTTGCATTATCATAAGTATGAATTATGTTGCGCTTGACGTTGTAATTAACGTACTGTAAATAAGAGAGGAGAGAAATGTATAAATATCATTAAAAAGTGTCATTATTTATGTAATACAACATGAAACACACAACAGTCATTGGTAATTCAGAATTGATTCTACTATTCCTCCACATTTTTATGTAACCAAAAATCGAAAAAAAGTGTGAATATAAATGAATGTTTCACAATTCCTATCAGTGTCAATGATATTTTATTCGAAAAAATCCGGCAGCAGCACAAATTACAGACAATTTAAGTTATATATTTCACCTATATGTATATATATTTATTATATATTTGACAAAATCTTCAAATATATTATCAAAAACAATGACGATCACCTGGAGTTCTCTAATAATCTAATAATCTGGAATTCATCAAAAAATTCTATTATTTTCCACTGGTTTTTACGTTTCTTCTCAGCGTACAAAAATTCTCTCGATTTTCGTTCTCAAATGTAGAAGCTTCGACAAAAGACTAAAACATGTGAAAAGAAAGGCTCCTAACTAAAATTAAATACTTTGACTAATTATGATTATTGAAGGTTCTCAAAATTTTTCCCCGGAAATCAAAGAAATTTAAAATATTCATGTTTGTCGCTTGGTTAGTTTTAGACTGTGCTTTAATACCTGCGACACCTCTACATAGGGTTTCTTATTTGTATATAAATTTCATCGAACATCATGTATTATTAAATTACCCCTTGTGGACGCTATGTTTAATATTATCCGACATTGCCATGTACTCAATAGTGTCACAAAGTTATCATCGTTTTTGACTAAAAATATTTATCTGATTTAAGGGCCGGATGGAGTATCTCGGAAAGATAATTTACTCCAAAATTGGGATTCCTAATTACTCCGCCAATTAATTGTTTTTTTTTTTTTCGATAATTGTTAGCTAGCGTTCTAGTCGTTGACAACTGCTAGAACGCTAGCTAACAATTATTGAAAAAAACGATTAATTGCCAAAGTAATTAGAAATCGGAATTTCGGATTAAATTATCTTTTCTAGATAATCCACCCGAGCCTTAATTACAAACTGGAATGGAACGGCATATTTGCCATGAGAATTATGAAATTAGTAAACCGGAGAATGTTGAAAAATGTAAAATTCCTTATTGTCACAGCTCGAAGTAGATACCGTCAAATACTCAAATACAGTTGTTACAAATAATCAAATGTCAGTCTGAATAATAATACCGTTGTTGCAGTAGGTGTCCTACTGCCTACTAAGTTTAGAAATATAAATTCATCCATTACATCGAATTACAGCCATTTTATCGACAATAACATTGCATAAAAATTTACTGGATACTCAATAATCATTTCACTGATCACAACAGTTAGAGTCTTATACTAACCATCAACAATTAATGGAACAGTTTATCATGGATAAAATTCAAATCTGCTGAAATCTCAATGAATAACGATATCACAATTTCACTTAGGCAAGTGTTCGTCACGAAAAAAACAGTTAATTATATAAATTCATGTGACACGGTTTATATTATCATAATGATTTCACAAAACAGTGGTAAAAGCTCATGAGTTACATAATTTTTCACAGATTATTTTGTCAATATGTCGAGAACTAATTCGTTAAGGCAACAATCTCGAAGAATATTTCTTGGGGGGTTCATCCAATTATCTGCGAAAGAAATTCCTTATTCAACTCTGATATCAATATTTACAAACTAGCCTGTGATTTTTTGTTCGCATATACATATGGAAAAATGGAATAGCAAATCCAATGGAAAATATTTGGAAGTTCCTACATATTGAAAATTGTCATTAAATAATTAATATAGAACATCTTGGATCAAATAAATACGGTAACTATAGTGAGATGAGATAATGTAAACTACGGTGGGTTGAATTTTTTTTTTTTTTATGCACGCGATGGTTCTACGGAATTTACGCTCCCATTATTCGATGTATAGCACAGGCTTCTGACTGATTTCAGTTCCTCCTTCCATTCGCAGTTTCAATCCAGCTAGGCTCCAGATACAATAACGGAGACGATGGAGATGGTGGCATAGAGTCAGCTGCATTGATCCGCGCCCCCATTACTTCGATATCAGTATAATGCAATGGACATACTGTACTCGAGTTACTCAACGTCGGCTCGGATAACATCCCTCTTCCCTTGTTCCTTCGACAATCCACCTTACACTCTCTCTCGATCTCCCTGGTATTATCTTCAGGATTTCTGTTGAAGCACAACAGAATCCTTTGCATACTAGGATACCGAAATTGCGCAAAATGTGGCGATGGACCGATAATGGAGAGTAAAGGACACAAAAAGAAGGTCGCGTAAGCCCAACTGACTCCCATCACAAGGATCAAGAATATACCAATCTGTATGTATACGAGCACTTGAGATGGCAACATGAGGGCACCAGATGCACCACTGGTGATAGCTGCCATTAGAGTTGGACCACCCATTTGTTCGATTGCTATCTTCACACGATCAACTCTCTTCTCCGATTGGCACGCTCGATAAGACACACTGTAATGCAGAGAAAAATCTACTGCCAATCCTATAGCTGTGGAGACAGCAACACTCTCCAGGACATTGAGCCTCCAACCGAGTATAACGAGTGCAGCTACAGTAACGAGAATTGCTGCGCCAATGGCTACAATAGCGTAAAGACTGACGAGGAGATTTAAAGTGACTAGAGCCAGAACAACTAGAGCCAAAATCATGGAAACACCCATGGCCCACAATGTGCCCTCGTAAAGTGTCCTTTGAAGCTCGAAGAATTCCAAGCGGCTCACAAACCATCCATTCTTCATTTCCGGGGGCGCGGACTTGAGCTGTTGCTGCATCCAACCCTCAACTTGGCTAAAAAATCTATTCATCTCAGCGAAGGATAGACTGTAGGAGTAATTGCTGTCGTATTCCACTATTAGGGCCTTTATTGTAGGCAAAGGCATCGTAAGAGTACTATTGTCTGCTAGTTGTTGAATGGAGGGTTTCATCGATGCTTTCTCATACTTTATTCCACCTGCTACTATGCCTCCCCTTTGCCAGAGATAGCTTGGGGTTCTATAGAGATCAGCGCTCGCTTCTGCAACGCATCTCCTCAAAACTGATGGAGTGTATGGATACTTACTGAGATCGCAGCAAGGGGCTTTAGAGATATTTGTGTCAACTACATCCTCGCATCGTCTTGTCATCCAATTTTTGAAGGACTCGATGAAGCAGTTAGGGAGGAGAGGCCCTTGAGTTTCGTGGTAGAAAGGCTGGGTGCGAAGATTTCGACAAAATTTTTCTAGCCATATTTGAGAGGCCTCGCTGGACATATCGAAAGAATCGTCCCATACTAGTCCTCCTCGAGATGCTGGATCTAGGTAATCACCATCGTCTATTGGTTTGATGCCCCAGACGAAGCGGAGTGGAAGCAGTCCTGCACCTTCATCCAATTCAGATTTCTCAAAAAAAAAATGGTGGGCATAATGTAAATCGTATTGCTCGAAGAGATGTGATGCGTCAAATAGTTGGAAATTTGGTGAATCTGGAAGACGGAGACCAGGGAAACTGAAGATCACCATGCCTGCTATTAGGGCGACAGCACCGAGAGATGACACCCAGAGCCAACGTAGGCCTATTACCATTCGAGAAATGATTGAGGTGAATGTCTCTGACACTCTCGCTATAGAAATTCGTATGGGGCGGATGATTTTTCGTACTAGAAAATTTGCTGGGGATAAAACTATTGGACGGCAGTGCTCGGAGATTACGACACTTGCCGGTAGCCATGTCACCATGAGAAAAAAATTTGCAATCACTGTCATACCTGAGAACAAACTGTTTCAACTCTGTTATTAGCTGTGACTGAAATGACTTTGACTAAATTTCATAATTTTTCATTCGCCTTTTTCGACAAGCATTGAATTTCTATTTGTGTGAAAAATACGGGAGTCTTACCTAAAACAATTTATTGCTGTTACGTTACTGACAATCGATGCAAAAAAGGCGACAGCTGTCGTAAGTGATGTGACAAACATCGAGGGGACTGCATGTTTCATCGTGTCTTGAACGAGCCTGACCAATCCTCCGTTTGACTCCTTCTGTTGCTTGCCCTGAGCCCACACTTTGCAATAAATGAATGCATCATCAGCTCCAATTCCTGACGAATAATAACCGAAAGAAAAGAATTACTGATTCGTTACTTCTCCTAGACTGTTATTTATATTATGTATCGAAATAACACTAACCGACTGCAACAATTATAGCCAGCAAATTCATAAATGGAAAGAATGTGATCTTGAGGATTAACGTATAAACAGCGTAAGATATGCCAAGACTGAAAAGGACAGCCATTATTGTAGACACAGTGAGCACGATAGATCCAGTGTATGCTAATATACATATCGTAACGAAAGAGAAACCAAATAGCAGGAGAAATGAGTCTGAGACTAGCAGTCTATCAAACAATGTGCTCTTCAGTCCCAAGTCCATTCCTAGAACCTTGAAACTTCCATAAGATAACTCAACATTGCTGATATCTTCGTAAAAACCAAGTGTAGCCGAGCTAGCAGCAATAGGCAAAAATATCATCGCCAATTTTAATGTTGAGTTGGTACTGTTGACCGAGACATGCGACGGAATAAAGTTATCATCTAAAAGGTAATGCAACAGGTGATACGGGGCATTGTGAGCGTAACATTCTGGTGGCACTTGCTTCTGGCAATTGAAGTCCTCAGCGCAATCGGGAGTAAGACGACGAATTCTGTAATAGTATGCGCATCTTTTGAGGAGCTCCTCGACGCTGGTCAGATCTTTTTCAGTTACTTGAAGACAAGTTGTGCGATTTGAGAGGAATGCTACGTAGTTGGCTGGTGACCAGCTGCGACAGCAATCTTGACCATTAGATCCGCTTACACCTCTAGTCTCGCACAGTGGAGAAAACCTAGGATTCGCCCTTAAGGTTGCATCTATGTGACACTGTGCTAGAACTCCTTTGCGAGACCACAAGTTACTTTCTCCCAAGTTTGAACCCACAAGCACTCGAGAATAGGCTGAACTGGGGAGATTGCAGAAAAACGCATCATCGAGGTGAGGAGGTTTCTCGTAATCGTTTAGGGATTTGTTCTGCTTAAGTTTAATCAACTCATTCCACTGGTCTTTGTCCTCATTATCTTCGAACTCAATGTTTGACGTCGAATTGTTAGCAGTTTTTTTGCCTTTCTTCTTATTTTTATTTTTAGGTTTTTTGCGGAGAATTCCTGGAATGGTGCGAGTTCTATTGAAGGATTCGGTTGAATTTTGTTTCGATACTTGAAGCAGGTAATTGTAGTATTCTATAGGATTATCTGTGAGATCCCCTCGGGCACCGGTAGCTTTCATTAGGTTGTACCAGGCAGTTAGACGTTGGGCTAGTGGAGTGCCTCTTGCCTCGAAACCCTGAATGAAAATGAATTGGTTGATCCTGATAGGACTCATAGTCCAAAAAAAAACATAACGAGCCCAAGCAAAACTTTATAACTCACTAATACGTAGGCATTTTGGAGATTTCATTTTGTGTTTTTTTTTTGTTTTTCTTCTAATAAAAACATGAATAAGTAAGTAAAAAGAAACGTTTTTGTAGAGCAAAATAAAATACAGTAAAAATGATTATGAGAATCTCAGTATCTACTTTAATAAATCTATAAATTCTATATCTTATGAAACACCGCCACTGATTAACGCTTGAATAGTTCTTATGGACTTACCAATTGCGGATCAGAGAAATCAGGAAATTTGTTTGTCGCTAGTGGCACAATTAAACATGTTGAAGAGAACACAAATACTGCTATTAGGATGGAGTAGGGATGATGAGCAACAACCCTCGAAAACCACCAAATCTCCATGATTCAATGATTCAACTGTTTCACCCAATTATGCAGCTTCTATCTCTATGATTACTCATAGTAACAAAGTGCACCCTTGAGGGCTAATTATTGGAACTGACAATAAGAAAACCCTTCTTGCAAGAGAATAAATGGCAAGTGGGGGGATGAACATGAAGGGGTAATCTATCACTATCTAGAGCATGAAGCGATTCCCAATTTGTCGTCTATTTTTCTTCGTAGCAAATGTACCGGAGAGATTTAAAGGGGAGCAATAGCAAAAACACTGCCCGTTTGAATTTCAGATGTTTCAGGAAGAGTGGCTAATTTTTTAGAAAAAAATTAAAAAATTTGTCAATTAACTACAGGTATTTTTAGTCGAATCTATTATTTAGCTATTAGTGATATAGAAATGAACAGACAAACAAGCGAAACTGTACTGAACAATGAGGCACCCAAAAAGGATTGACTAAAGTAGTGGCTCAGTTCTGGGGGTTTGAGTGACCCCACCGGTATCGTAGTACCTCACCCCAAGAGAGAGCGGGCGCCACACGCAATGCTCGGACTCCACGTGTAGTGTGGCAGTAAGCGTGCGCTCAACTTCACACATATTTTTTTTCCTAATAGATAGTGAACAAAAAAGAGTTGAATCGAACTCACACATGACTACAATCTGCCACAGGCTATCAGAGTGGCATTCGATAGACTTGGGATATTCATTCACTTTTACCCATGCCGCGATCACCTTTCAGAAGGAAATACTCACTTTGCTCCTCAATAATGTACACAGTAATAGTCTAACATACGGTACTAGCTCTACGTAAGATTTTCAAGATTTATTGAAATTTTTTCGACAATCGTGATCAGTGTAATTTATAAATAATCATGGAGATTGACAAGAGATTCTTGAACGTATTGCTCTTGAGTTGTGGATTTATGCTGGTGTTCACTGCTTTTCAAACAATGGGAAATATAGAGGTGAGTTGGGTTCATTACAGTAAACATTCTCCTTTATTTTGCTCTCACATGTCAGTGGTGACTTGTTTTCCTTTTGACGTCTCTTCCCTCGTGGCTGCACAGACATGTGTCACACGTGCAATCGCAATAAGCGGCCAATTTAAATTGGTGACAAATGTGGAGTAAAAATGTCCAATGTCGTGAGCATTTCAACGTTGAACTCGAATGAAGTCACAATTTTTTTGAGATTCCACGCGAAGCCTTCTCCACGTCCTTGCCCGCCTGTATACCTGAAGAAATCGGCAAAAATGGATGATACGCAAATCCCTTTTTAACTGAATTTACTTATGACAAAATTCACCTCTAGTTGAGTGTCTTGTAATTGGATAATACAGGACTGACGTTCGCACGTACGTGCAACGCATTTACAACCGGTACCTCGTAGAAAATCAGCCAGGCGAAAATTTACTCTGATTGCAGCACTCTAATAGCGATGAATCAAAAATTTTTCTTCCATTTTTTCTACGAATTCAATGTTCGAGATACTTGGCAGAGACTCGTAAAGAATACTTGAGTGAATGCCCGATTGTAATGTAGCAATTGCATAAAAATCGCTTAAGCAAAAGAATGATAAAATGCTCTTTCGTTGCTGTTATCTTCACAGTTCAATGTATCATCCGGCACTTTATCACTCAATTATTGTGGCCAACGATTCTTAAATTTAATGTGCGATCATCGGAAAAAATTATTATCTAATGGTGACTGCAAATAGACCGAAGAAGCACAATTGCTGAATGTTATTTTATTGTTGCTTTGAATGTGCTCGGTTAAAATGACTTATTAAAGTATTAAATAGTAATAAATTGAGTTTTTCTTTTTTTTTTATGAATTTTGTTTAACATCCTTTCACAGATAATGCAATTTCCTTGTAGGACATAAATTGACTACACATATCTCCTAAGTATGGTAACACGTAGATTATTAATAAGTTCAAATATGATAATTAACACTTCAACCAGATGAAATATCAACGGGATTCTGGAAGGCGTAACATTGATGAAGATGATAATTAATGTTTGCGACATCACCGTAAAATATTTCTCTCGCTTTCCACCTTGACTAGAAAATTTTTAAACAATTTAAAAAAGGTGAAGGTAATTTTTTCTTCCACTTTCATATCAATCACACCGGTTCGTCTAGAAAATGGTCGTCATTTTTCTTTCGCCTCCAGAACACTCTGACATTCTCTCCTTTCCAAACAGATTTTACATTATTAAATAAATTAAGATATTTATTTTTCAACAAACAGCTCGCGATACTCCTGATAATTAATACGATATTCACAAAGTTTTTCCCCGGGGAAGTCGAAAGATAACGACAAGACTTTATAAGTGTTATCACTCGGAGTGTGTGAATTGCTATAAACAATTACAAGAGATCAGAAAACGAAGGGAATTGGTTGTAAAATTCTTAAAATCGACGTGAAAGAGCTTGGTGTTCACTACTGGAGGTGAAAGTATAATAATGAGCAGTCGTGCCGCCAGATATCTAAACGAATCGAGTCCCTTGTTTTCCTACTTTTTCCTACTCCAGTGTGTAAAGAAAAATAAAAATCATGACGGATGTCGTAACATCTATTAACCACCCAAGCAGGTAATTTTCTTGAAACTTTTTTTCTTTTAATTCTGTAAAAAATTTACCAAGGGGAAAAAAGCAGTTTTCGAGAATTAAAAATATTGTAGGAAAGTATATATTTTTTTTTTCTAATTTTATCCTTTCATTCCAGAAAACCATTCTGGACAGCATAGGAAAGGACGACACGACCTTCAATGGCAACGCGTATACAAGTTTAGCGATAATTTATACAGCATTGGCAACGTGCAATTGGCTAGCTCCATCCTTCATCTCGATGACGGGTCCAAGGATAGCAATTTTCGCGGGTTCCTGCTGCTACGCATTTTTCATAGCAACATTCCTCATCCCAAGCTCAGGCCTGCTCTACACAGCCTCGGCAATTCTCGGCTTTGGAGGATCCCTAGTCTGGACCGGACATGGTCAGTACTTGACCGAGAATAGCGACTCCGAAACTATGTCGAGAAATTCTGGCCTCTTCTGGGCAGTCTTCCAGTCGTCCATGTTCACTGGAAATTTGTTCGTCTACTTCATGTTTACGGATCCCGAGATAGACGGGCCAACGAGAAAGATTGTCTTCACGGTGTTGACAAGTCTGGCCATTATTGGAGTTGCGGTGCTGGGACTTTTGCGAAAGCCACCGCAAAGGTTATCCCTTGGTGAAGCCGAAGGGGTCTCTAGCGAGGATAAGGAACTGGCAATGCCACAGCCTCAACGCCAAACAGGATGTGCTGCTGCGTGGAGTGCCTTCAGAGATGCTCTGAGTTTGTGCGTTTCACCGAAAATGCTTCTACTGTCATTGACATTTATTTATACCGGTGTGGGATTAACATTCTTCTCAGGCATTTATTCGTCAAGCATCGGATTCACGGAGGCCATGGGTGAGAAACGGAAGAGTCTTGTTGGTCTCTCTGGAATTTGCATTGGAATAGGAGAAGTCCTCGGAGGTGCAATCTTTGGAATGCTGGCGTCAAGAGGTTCGAGTGTTCTTGGCAAATGTACGGGATGGCCAGTAGTGGTCATTGGATTTTTTGTCACTCTATTTGCATACATATCGGCTTTTCTCAATCTTCCTAATGACTCACCGTTTAAAGATACTAATGAGGAAGCATACATCACTCCATCGCCGATTCTGGCGATGGTGGGAAGTCTCACATTGGGATTCGGTGATGCATGTTATAATACTCAGATTTATTCACTACTTGGAGTGGTTTATGCTAAAGACAGCGCCCCAGCATTCGCGTTGTTCAAATTCACTCAGTCGGTAGCTGCAGCTGTCAGTTTTGTATATAGCAATCACATCGGTCTCCATGGACAATTGGCCATTCTCCTTGTGTCCATGGTAATTGGTACAGTAGCTTTTGTATATATTGAAAGACGTCACTCGAGGACGAAACTCCAATCTGCGGCAGGTGAATCCGGACTAGCAGAGAGTGTAAGTGCTGAGGAATGACTTGTTTGAAATTCATGAAATTCCTTTATCAGGCAATTATTCAGTATTCAATACTCGCCCGTTATCGTTGAGGAACTATTGCTGTATTGGCTCTAGTGGACTGTTGTCGATGTTGAAAAATTTTTCGACGTTTTTTTCTAAACAGTAACTTCAGACAAAATTTTACAAAATAATCACACAACTATAAAAATCCAGCAGGTTTATTTTTCATTCTTTTTTAGAATTTCCAGGGGCTAGTTGTGAAAAGTAGACCAATGCTGACTTATTTAATGACATCGATCTCGATGAGAAAAATCACTAATCAAATTGTGTCACAAGGAGTTTTAAACCTCATTCGATAAAATAAGTGACTGATCAGTCATGATAGTATATAACGTGCAGTTGAGACTGAAATACCCCGAAAATCATCAATGATTTGTAAATAAATCGAATGACATCGAAATGACAACAAACGCGTTCTCAATGGTTTTGTTAGCAAATGCTTCCGGTGAATACAACACCTTCGATTCTCAGATTTGGTCAATCATGCACGTGAGATTTTTACAAATATATCTCTATTTTATCTTTATCTTTCCACCAACAACTGGTGGTAACATTCCAGGGCTGTGAGCGAACGCTCCTTATCAACTTTTATCATTATGTGGGATACATCTCTACACGAAAAAAAAAAGATTATTTAATTACAAAAATGGATTATTCACCTAATGAAGAAATGAACATTGTTATCGATACAGTTGAATAAACTATAAAATATTTGTGTATAAATACCATGTACTTATCAAAGAACATTTTATTAAAATCAATCCTTACAAATCTTTAAATACCATTAGGCAATTTATTAAATCCTACGTACATATCCTAGCCTTGAACGATAGTCGAATAGAAAGTGAATTTTATTAGCAGCGCAATGACATTTCCTTTAAAAATATCCCGCTCAAAAGCCTCACCACTGCCATCTCCCAGCAATTACTCGAGTAGTAACAAAATAACCGGTAATGCAGAATGATGACAGTTATCGAGCGCGTGGAACAATCTGCCAAATGTCTTTTGTTCTAGTCAAAACAAATAGGGGATAATTATCAGTTATGTTTGTCCCTCATTAAAGTGCATCACTCACCGAACAGATCAGACAGAATAGATTGCTGTCAGGGGATGACAACTGGAACACCCTAAATCGTTCAATATCTCCAGGCGAGATCAATTAGGGGTCCACCTGACAGACGGAAAAGGCACTACACACGAGAGTTTACCTGCGGCGTCGTTGATTTTATCGGAATTGCAGTTGTAGTGCTTTATACACGAGCCCTGAAATGCGTTTTCCATCGGTGTCTAATAAAAGTAACAAATCTGTATTAATAACTCTCGATAGTAATATCCATTTACCAATATTAAATCGAGATATGAGTCTCGATTTGTTAGCAAGTATGGAGGGTACTGAGTACATTGTGCAACGATAAAATACTTGTGATCAGCCACACGTGAGTTGGATGGATGAAGTTAAAGGCCTCAGATGGATCTCGAGACAACCGTTTTGCTCGGAATAGTATTTTGATTAAAGATGGAGGAAAGTGGAAACGACAAGTTTCTTTTGAGAAGACGCGCTGTCACACTGAAACCACTCAAGATCAAAGATGAACGCGTTGCTACATTAAAAAAGGTTAGTGTCTTTTTGATTGTTTTTTTATTGATTGTATTACTTAGGCGAAGGGGGGTAGTAAGTTAAGAGAATGTAAACAATGAGTGTTATTATTTTGCAAAGGTTGCTGCGATCCTCAATAAATCTGAGGTGGACAGAACAGTTGAGGAAATTGATTTATTGTCCTCATGTGGTGATGTTGTCAAGGAGGTGAACCTCAGGTATGCCCAGAATTAAATTTCCATTTAACAAAACTACTTTATTATAATAACTGCGATCCAAATTATTTTAAGTATTCGAATACAAAACAATGTGTTCGATCTTGCAGACAAGAGAAGAGAGACAAAGTGAAAGCCAGACTCGAAGAGATTGAGGATCCCCCAGAGCTTCTCGAGGAAAAATGTATGAGACTGGCTGGAGCAATAAGTCGTGCATCTTCGCTGGCCGTTTACACTGGTGCAGGAATAAGCACAGCAGCATCAATTCCAGATTACAGGGGTACAAACGGTGTTTGGACACGGATGCAACAAGGAAAAGAGATAGGGTAAGCCCCCCCCCCCCTTCCCAGAATAAACAGAATAAAAGATAAAGAAGAAATAAAAGTCGAGATTGGTTGAGAGTACCTTGTAACAATTAACCAACACGATGAATAATTATAATGTTACAGAAATCATGATCTCAGTTTAGCAGAGCCGACAGTCACGCACATGGCACTGTACGCTCTGTACAAGGCTCGTGTACTGAAGCACATTGTATCCCAGAATTGCGATGGTCTTCATCTACGCAGTGGTATTCCACGTACCTTTTTATCGGAAGTACATGGCAATATGTATGTAGAAGTTTGTCGTGGGTGCAAGCCATTTCGCGAGTATCTGCGTTTATTCGATGTCACTGAAAAAACAGCAAGATTTTCTCACGGTACTGGTAGACACTGTCACGAGTGCAACTCTCTTCTCCAAGATTCAATAGTGCACTTTGGTGAGCGTGGCAATTTGCCTTGGCCAATAAATTGGAATGGGGCATGCCGTGCCTCAAAACAGGCTGATGTCATTTTGTGTCTTGGCTCAAGCTTAAAAGTCCTGAAGAAATATCCGTGGCTGTGGCAGATGGACAGACCTGCCCACAAACGTTGCTCCCTGTACATAGTTAATCTCCAATGGACACCGAAAGATGAAAATGCAACATTGAAGATAAATGGTAGATGCGATGAAGTTATGAAGAGAGTCATGAGCCATTTAGGTTTAGATATTCCAGATTATAATAGATTCAAGGATCCGATATTTTATCACGCTATAAGACTGCAAATTAATGAACAATCGACAACATCACAGCCTTGTCTTGAGGAGCCCGTATTAATCACCAACGATACTGACCGTGATCAAAATATAGAGATTAAGAGTGATGTTGAGGGTATTATACCAAAAAAGGACGATGAAGACTGCGCATCACAGATCAATCTCAGTGAGCCATTGACCGCCTACTCGGCACCGTTTTTCACAGCTTTACCCTTCCTATCTATGGGCTTGCCGTTTCCACCGATGTTCCTATATCCACAACTCACGTCGTTACTTTATTATCCACTGCTTCAGGCACCTTCAATTAAACAGGAGGAAATTATTGAGCCGAAAGCCACACCAGCTTGCAAATTCTGTATGGAGACTGAGCAATCACAGAATTGTCTCTTCTATCAAATTAACGGTAAGGATCCGGTAGGAATTGATCAGCCTGTAGATTTGTCAGAGCCTAACATCGACAATGACAATGAAAATAATATCGACGTGGTGACAGAGTCCGAGGATGCTTCCAAGGCGACTGCCAAAAATCCCGGCTGGTTTGGCAAGGGCTATAGAAAAGGCTTTCGCAAGAAACGGTAGCATTCATTCGCCCAAATCATCCCACCACCCACGAGATGGTGATAAATCGATGGGTAGAGTGCACGAGTAGAAAGATCAGTATCAATGTAATCTCCATCATCAAAGACTCAACGATATGTTATTTTACAATTTTTCAGCAACATTTGAAGTGCTATAAATCTCAAATTGTTGATTTACTATTTATCGTCTCAAAAAGTATTAACTCGCGAATTATTTATTTGTATTACAAAAGACTCAACAGTGCATTTTTCTTTTCAATTAAAATTCTACCTATTATTTGAATTATCGACGAATTATCGATTATAAATGTGAAAATTGACGTATTATTCCTATTCCTCGATAGAAAAAAATATATAAAAAAATTAAAGAGTTAAAGTAAAATCAGGTGATTTGTCTCGTTCAACCCGTTCACGGCTTTTGTCATTCTATAAAAATGAGGGGGTGGACGTACGTGAGATCCAATACTTGGATAATAGTCACCATTGTCAGCCTTTAGAGAAATTTCAGGTGAATTAAATGGTTGGCATGTGGTGGGTTAAAAATCCGTGGTGTTCAATGCTTGATCCTATGGTTTCACCATAACCCGAACAAAGTTTTCATACCAAATGGCGTATACGTGGGTTAGATACAACCGGTGAAAAAATGAGATGGATATACACTGGGTTGTCACGGGACCGGCGAAGTAACCCCCAGTTGTGCGCTAGGGGTACAATCGATATTCCGCGGAGGCCCTGAGCCCCAGTAGGTGGGTGCAAAGGGGGTGGATAGATTGGTACAACCGCTAGAATGAGCGAGACGGATGGGGGGTTGCAGAGCGGGAGGGCATGGTAGGCAAAAGCAAAGTGAGCGAAATGGTGCGGTAGTCTGGTGTTTCCCTCGAAGAAAAATATGGAGAAAGAGAGGGATTGACTCCCGTGGTTTTTTCCCTTCAAAACGCGTACGTGAGCCGACTTTGGTTGTTTTTTTTTTTTTTTCTCCGTGGGACTTTATGGAGAGTATGAAAATAGCAGGATATTTGGAGAGAATCAACGGTGACCTGACATTAATTCGGTATAAAAATTTATCGAGCTATTCGAATATGTGTTCGTTCGTTGATGGTGGAGGCCTGTTAAATCCTGTTGTTTTGTGAATGTGTGTCTGCTGGTAGAATTAGTTGGCTCCCTCCAAGCTCCAAGATCTACTCCGGATGTTCACCAGTAGCACTGGATCCGTGAGGTCGTTGAATCTCGTGCTCCTGGGATCGTAGTGAAATTGTTTTCGGTGAGTTTTTCATACCCTGTGAGAGAGGAGAGAGGTGTGGCTTTGAAAGTATCAGTAACTGGGGAGGGTACAGAAAGAGGGAAAACTAGTGGAGCGGATATTTCCACGGCGAAACAGCTTGGCACAAGTATCCCGGTGGAGGACAGTGGGTGGGTATTATGGTAGAGAGGAAAAGCCATGGTCTGTTGCCATGGTGATACCCCTAAACTGTGCATAGAATCTGGCAGAGTCAGAAAGGGAAATAGCAAGGTATGAGAGGGAGAGAGTTCCATGGGGGTTACTGTCTTGAAGCTACCAACCGGCTGTAGTATACCTCCCAAGCTGTTGATACTTGACTGTGAGCGGTGTGCGCACGAGGGAAGTGAATGCTCATGAGGTATCAGGGGGTTCACAAAGACCTGGGGAGACTCTAACTGGAGACAACTGTCAACAGTCAGCGAGGACGCGACTTATTTGAGAAAAAAAAAAGAGTGTTTGAGCGGGGGCGAAAAGTATATGTCCTTACACCTGGAACAGGATGGAGGGACACAACACCAAAAAGGATGCTGTGTCCCTCGTAGTTATTTTTCTCTCTACTCTTTGTTTGAACGTTTGAAATGTATCCCCTTTTCTCTTGATTCCACTTTCCTCCTTTTTTAATGAGGATACGTGGTGAAGAAGCCTCCAATTAACGCCTCATTATGCATTCAAAGTTGTTAACTTACTCGTCGAGTAAACACACGTACATTTGAACATATGGGGAATGTCAGTGTGGCTTTGAACTTTATCATCTCTCTTACCCCTCTTTTACCATTTTAAAAAGCCAATAGAGCAAAATGGGATTAAACAATTGGCGTCCATCGGAAGTATTGGACGGAGTACATTTGAGTGGCATTGTACATCACTGCTTTAAATGACATCACAATAGTCTCTGGTACCCTGGTTTCTCTATACACACACTGGTCACCATTGAGTGTTAAACAACTTTTTTCTTTTTTTTTTCAACTTGTGTTGCTCACGCGCAGCGTTAGTGACCGGGTACAAGCTTAATACTAAAGTGGACCCCAACCGTAATTGATGTTAATTAGAGCCATTGTACTAAAGCCCCGACGTCCAATCAGCCAGACTAACGCCGAGTGGTATACACATTCATTCCATGGTCTTGGGGACATGGGCAATTTATTTTGGAGATTATCATGAAATAATTCGACATGAAATTTTACGTGAATGTATTGTTTAATTCAAACTGGTGAAATTAAATTGACTTTTTATCGGCTGATTTTCTTTTCATCTCTTTTTTAATGTGTTTTTTTTTTTTCTGTAACAATGGGTATTTTATGAGGCTCAGGGGGGCACTTTACAGTCACTTTTTATCCGTTATATTCACACCAGGCTCTAGTCCTTATCTAATCGTTCCGCTATATTTGTCTCGTGGTATTATCTCGTATAAACGCATCGCCGTGAGGGAGTCAGGGGTCTTCAGATACACACATTAGGAGGGGTTGGGAAAGGGTGATAGAATGCACTGCTGGTATGTGTGTATATTTTCATTTATATACCTCACACACAAGAGTGACGTTCGTGCTAAGAATTGAGTAATAAATACAATCCCAGGTATCGATAGAAGAGACTTTTAACTCGTTCCTATAAAAATCATGGACAATCTAACGAAGTAATAAGTGGTGACCACTGATACTCGAGTACTGTAATTTTCCGGTTATTCTATTAGCGATTAATGGCAATCCAGGAATGGAAAAACTGCAGTTATTTTTAAAATCTACTGTGATTATTCTTTACTTGATTCAGTTAAAAACTATTCTATCGACAGCGATCAGCTTTATGCTGTTACATTTGCATTGTTAATCGCAGAAATCGTTTTTCTCGTCCTCGCAGGAAAAAATTTTGCAAATCGGTCTAGAACTTGACAATATGGTATGCAAATGTGGCCTTATGCTCTGTAAACTTTAAAAATGAATTTATACTCCTCAGCAGCGAAGCGCGGGATAGAAAATTTAGTTGGAAACTTACTCGAAGTGATGCAAAATTTCCAATGTTCGTATATCCATGAGGTGGAAAGAACTTGGAAAAGTGAGAATTTTTTTTCAATAAAAAAGGCATACGATCGACATTTATCTGTTTTGTGGTACCACTTGCATCGTATTGAAGGAGCAATCAAACAAACACCACAAATAATCTTTTCTGCTCGATAAAATTTAAAAGAATCTTTATTCCTTGGAAATTCTATTCTCAACTTTCTCAAGAGCGAAGAAAATTCGAATATTCCCAAATCCATGAAGCATACAACCTCTGAACTTGAGAGTGATGTTTCAAAAACCCAAATTCATTATCGTTTGGATTTTACCTCATTTAACGAGGCTCTGGTGTACATACTGTAGAGTGCGCACATTTTTTTTGTCATCGATAGAGTAATATTACCGGTGCAATTAAGGTAGGATTTCTTTGTGGCGTGTGTTGGATGGAAGAAGCCGGTAGTTACGTTTGACAATAGTAC